TGATTATGGAGCTGAGAGTTTGACATTTACCCTCCCTGTCTTTGTCTGTTCACCCCGCGTATTGAAATCAAGCCCTGTGTACCCCTCTATAGTATCTCAAATATCCTCTCTGTAACCCACCCCACCTTGCGCCCTCCTGGCTTCTGCTCTCCAACATGGTTCTCGACTATAGCAAATGGGATGCCCTGGAGCTCTCAGATGATTCGGATATCGAAGTGCATCCCAATGTCGACAAACGATCCTTCATCCGCGCAAAACAGCACCAGATCCACCAGCAGCGCATTCAGCGCCATCAGGAAATCGAAAACCTGAAATACTCTCGCATCATAAATGACGGACTGTTGAAGCGCATTGACGCTCTCATAGCATCACTCAAGAGCCATGAAGACAGTTCCAGAAACCCGGATGAGCTTATTTTCCAGGCCCTGATCGAGTCCGCTGGCGACCCTAACGAAGACAGTCCTCCGCCACCTCCCGAAGGCGTATTGACGCACGAAAAGGAACAGCCTAAATACTCGCAAATGATGGGGTCACTAGTAGACCAGGTGAAGAAAGAGCTGGATGAGTCCAAACCGGAAAATCGGTTTCAAGAATACATCAAGGGTGTGGAGCAGCATAAGACCAAAGTTTTGGGGTTGCAGCAGCAGTTATTAGAGAAACTAGCTTCTCTGGAGAAAGAGGAGGCCAAAAAAATTACCAGCGAGAGCATACACACCGGCTTTGACAGAACCTTAGTTAACCGGCCGAAACCCGAGCAGAAGAAAACGGAGACTACTAGTTCGGTGGAACTTCTGAATCCGGGTGCGGCCAAGAGCGTCAATGAGGCGGACGTAGGCTCCTCTGGGGCCGAAGTCGACATTGAAGATGAGGAAGAGGAAGATAAAATCAAGGTAACACCGCTGGCTAAACAATTTGCCAAATTCAAAATCGGTGACTACAAAAGTTGCCTGCAATTTATCGGCGATCACCCGGAGATCGTAACTGAGCGCAAGACGGATGAGCTACTTATCGAGGGATTCGACGCCCAGCTATCCGGGAACGAAGAATACGCCCGCCAATGTGTGCATCAAGGCTTACTGCTTCAATACTGCCGATCTCTCGGCCGTGACGGCGTGAGCCTCTTCTTCAAGCGGTACGTCGAACACACCCATGCAGCCGCCACTTTCCCATTGTTTAATTGATGTAAAATTATATACTAACCAAACCACACTTTCCACGCTTAACAGCATAACCTCAAGGGACCACAAAGCCTCCATACTCTTCCACAACGATGTTACCGAAACATACGGCAAGATGAAAACGCGCGCCGCAGAGCTCGCCAAGAACTCCGCCGGTAATCCTGTAGAGGTCGAGCAAATCCAACTCCACGCCGTCGATCCGAATACGAAGCTCAACATCAAAATCCCCTCGCCGGAAGACACTAATCCGGACTCTGTCGCGGCGATGGAAACCTTCAAGAGCTTCCCGCCGAACCTGCAGCGGGCGCTCAAATCTGAGAGCCTTGATGAGGTTAATAAGGTGCTTGGGAAAATGAGTGTGGAGGAGGCGGAGGGGGTAGTGGACAAGCTGGGGTCCAGTGGGATTTTGACGATGG